CCCCCCGGGCCCTTCCCCCGCCGCTCCGCCCGGCTGCATCCGTGCCTTGCTGGGGCTGCGGCCCGTTCCCCCTCAGCCCCCGCGCCAGTTAAAGCTGGGCGAATGAGCTGTAGCTAAGCGGAGCCGTGGGGTGCCGTGGGGTGCCGTGGCAGCTGATGGTGCGAGGGCGTCGGCGTCTTCGCCGGCGTGCTTTGTAGGAGCGCGGCAGCTTGGAGAAGGTCTCTCCTTTCACGTGAGCAGCAGCAACTGGAAGTTGGGGGTCACGTCGCTTCCGTTGTTCATTTTTTTTATTCAGTCTTGCCTTTGAACAGGTCAAAGCTGGAACGTTGCTTTTGGATGTGGATCGGTTTCAGGGCGGAGCAGGTTCAGGCTATTTGTCAAGACTCTCAAGGGTCTATGGGAAGCAGGAGCTCAAAGGAAGGAAAATCACGCGTGGGGGCATCTTTCAGAGGTCAGTGTGGAGGGGAGATGAGTTAAAGCTTGACGATTACTGAGGCGTTCGGTATGACAGGTGCTCCCCAGCTGCCTTTGCAGCGTCCTCCTGGGACTGAAAACCTGCTTCTGAGGCTCCATGCACTGAGTCACAGGCCTCTGGGATCTGGAGCTGCCTGGATCCACCGAGCTGGGAATCACCGGGGATCTGGTACTTAAGCAAACTCACGAGTCTGGTGGAGGCTGGGTGGGTGGAGTGATGTCATTTTACTTTTCAGGAATTTTACCGGAATGGCTTAATTTCTTTAAAAAATAGCTTATCAAACTACCGGGTGCGTATGTTAAAGGTAGTGTGTTGGAACTTAGCAGGAGTTGTGCAAACTTTGCATTTATTTTGCTGGACACTTCATTGCCAGCTGCGAAGCAGAGCTACCTCTAGCACCGCACATTCCAGTAAACATCTCTTATCCATGCTATAAAATTAAACGAAGCTAAATTACTGTGTTTCATCGAACTGTGTAGGGGAATGTGTGCAGTGATACCTATTTTGAGTGCTTGGCTAAATCTTTTTTTCCTTGACTTCACAGTTTACCTCCGGGATTGACGGGTATTGATGCTCATGTTAGGAGAAGACAGCATCTCGGCCTGCTGCTGCTGGGTGCTCTGGAGGTCTGTGTTGACTGCGGAGCTGGTGAAGCTTGCAAGCGGGAGTCGTGGTGAAGGCGGGCAGAGGCAAAGGCGGTTGCAGAGTTAGCGCTTTAGTACGTTATGCTGCTGAATGAGGCAGCTGAGACGTCCAGAAATACCCAACAGCGCATCGTTTCTCTTAGGGTCACGTGGAGGCCGGGTATCGACGCCTCCATCATCCTCGGTCGCTTGGCTTATAAGGGTGTATCTTGCTGTAGGCAGTAAAAGTGACTGGCAGCGGGGTCGGAGCCAGCTGGGGTTGTGAACCAGCTGGCTCCAATGTGGAGCCTCCCTAACGGAGGGCTGTTCTCGTTATCGTGGCGACGCGGGGGTGCACTGGTGGTCCTTGGTGCTGCGGTGAGGTGGGTGCTCTGGCTGATCTGTGGAAGGGGATGCCGCTTTTCTGGTCTATCAGGAAGCTCTGGGAAAACGGTGGTGAAGAAGATGGAAGCTCTCCTAGAAAACTCGGGCTACCAAACTTCAGGAGCTGAAGCAGCTCAGCATTTTGCTTGTGGCCACTCCTTTTTACACTCAGATAAAACCCCGTCTGTGCAGAGACCTTGTTCTTTACACTTAAGATGAGCCTTCTTTGAGCATGTTGGGCTTGTGGGAAGATAGCGATCTGCCTGCCTGAAGCTCAGTTATTAATAATAAAGTATTTAAGATGGCAATTTGCATTTCAGCAGCACCTTTAATCCATGGCTCTCCAAATGCTTTACAGACATTGATTAACATAGCCTCACAACAACCCTGTGAGGTAGGTGGATATGATCATCCCCACCGCTGTGGGGACAATGAGGGCACCAAGGATGAGGGGCTTGGAGCAGTCGTGCTGGGATTTGACCTAGCACTTGGCCATTTAAGTCCCATTAGGTCTTCAGCTTCAGATCACGCTTTTCTAGCGCACGGGTTTGACTCAGTGTGGGGCTGTACTGATAAACGAGCCTGTGACTGGCTGGCACAGACTATAAAGGCCATTAATCTAAGACAGCAGTTTATTAGCCAAGTAGATGGTTCCTTGGGGCTTCTTGCTGCTGGAATAATCTGAGGGTTTGAAGGCATATAAAAAATAGATATCAACCATTGAGCATGGCAGGCTGTAACTGGAGAAAGCCCTTAGACCCCAGGTGGGGAAGCTATGTGGGATGCTACTGTAAATGTATTGATCAGGAAGGGCATAATAATTTATATATAAAGTCTACCTTTGCTCTTTCCCCAAAGGGAAAGAAAAAAAAAAAAAGGAACCTAGAAAGTCACTGCTGATTGTCACGTGTCAGCTTCAAGCTCTGGGCCCTTGGCTTCATAGCACCTGCAAAAAGAACAAAACACGGCGCATCAGCAGCCTGTCTGGGCTGGCAAAAAAAGCTAAGCAATGTGTTCCCTCAAACCCAGTCCCAGTGCTAGTTTAGCTTTAAAACAACTTAAAATGATGTGAATTACTCGTGTGGGATGGATCTGAGAGTACTGATGGGAATGTGCTCCAATATCACCTGCGGAGCAGGAGTGCGGTAAGCTTGGACTAGAGGGTGACACCTTCACGAAAGCTGGCTTATTTACCTCTTCATTTAATGACAAACCTCTCTAGCTCTGATGGCTGGCCCTAGCTGATGGCACCTATATACGTGAGGTATACGTGATGCCTTGAGTTCAGGCAGCTGGGATAAACCTGAGATGGCATCCAAACTGTTCACCAGGCTCACTGGAACCAGTCTGGACCTTTAGGAGTTTGATGGCAGCTGGTTTTTTTAATTATCTTTCTGAAGGAATTAGAGAGCAAAGAAATAACTCAAAGGCATGCTCTTATCCAGCAAGATAAATAATCCCCAGCTAACTCTCTAAAAAGCGAGGCTTAAAAGGGAAACCTTTTCTGAGGGTGGGTAACTCATGCTGTTGTTCATGTTGATGTTCTTCATGGAGATCAGAGTGATGCTGTTATCCTTCTGGCTTGTGCCTGCCGAGCAGCTGTCAAGAAGAGAAGGCAGTATTAACTACTCTGGAAAATGGGAGAAGGGAGTTTCTTCGCCCACAACTGGAGGCAAACTGGCAAGGCTGTGGCTGGCTGGCACACGGGACCAGGGCTGACTTACGCTGCCCTTTGAGCTGCTGTCCTGATTCAGGCACATCCTTAGTGCCAAAGTCCCCATCCCTGCCTGAACATAGGTTCAGAGATCTCTGGGGAAACAAGGAGCGCATTCAAATTCGGATGCGGTGCTGGTTTGCCCGACAGAAAGCATCGCTGTCACCTGTGTCACTACCTGTAGGCAGAATCGAGGAGCGGTTTGGATCTGGCTCTCAGTGACTGAATTGCCTTCTAGCCCTGCAGCCATTACCAGAACTGGAACAAAAGGAAACATTACTGTGTCCCTCTGTCCTATGCCCTTAAGTTTATTTGTCATACAAAGGGAGCCCCGGATATTTTTACATCCGATGCTGCTGCTCATGTATTGCCAGCATCTCTCTTAAGAGTGAGAGTTACAAGTGTTAGGAAGGTGGAATTCCCCTTTCTCCCTGCCCTGAGGGCTGGGATGTGCATTTAGTGCCAGTGGAGACTGGATGACTTTGGGGACTAGGGTGCCTTGGGGGCAGAGTCCTCTGCTCTGATACATGTCCTGCCTCAGTGGCTGCAGATCACCTAGATCATGATCGTTAAGGGTATTTGTGAACCATTGATGTTGATGCAAATTTGGCACCTAAATACTTCGGGACTTTGCTCCCTGTGTCCCTTGCCTCTTTCCAAAGTGGGGTTTGTTACTTTGATCAGAAACTATCAGACGATAAAGTAGGAGCAACATGTTTTGGTCCCTTCCAGCTCTTGTTTCCTGCTGCTTTCCCACGGGCAGCCTCTCTTCTTGGGTAGCAGTGATCGACCATGGGGTTCAGACGGACCATCCTCCGTTTGGTGCTTCTCGTCCAAAGGTGCCTGTATTGGTGCCCCCTTATCCTGCTCTTGCTAGATAACAGTAATAGGCATCTTGGAAGATATTTTTGAGGACCTGATCTCATCTCATCTCACTGAGGGTGCTTTGAGATCCAGAAACCCAGGTTTAGACCTCAAGTCTGTATCTAGGCAAAGAAAGACAAGCGAACTGCTTTTGGAAGGTGATGAGTCTTCACAGGTATCAGTGCAGCTTTGAAATGAGGCCCCTAAATATTGAACTTCTACCTTTGGCTCCATCAGGCAGAGGATGAGGTGCTATCAATGCTCACTTTGTTTTTTTGCCTGTCTCAAAGATGTCTTGAAATGCTTCCTTCCGCCTGAAGTAACCAAAGCAGCCTCTTTTCCTTACTAAAATTAGTTCTGGAATAAAATAGGCACTTTCAATAGGATGTGAATAGTGTGAGCACCCTTACCTGTCTGATACCATGGAGGTCCCTGGTTTCTGTTTGTCTGGAGGGAGAAAAGCAGTTGGTGACGTACAGGTGAGAAAACATCACAGCCAAGCAATAAAATAAGTCATCTATATTCAGAATTACGTCGTACAGGGTTATAAATGAAATCCAAATGAGATTAGAGACGCCATGGGGTATACTTGAGAGTTGATTAGAGAGAACTCTTCAACTAACGTGAGATACAGGCAGGACGGAATGCTTTGCTGCCTGTTTAGCCACTAGCATCCTTCGGTCTTTTGGCAGTTACCCGTCTTGCTGTAGAGCAGCCTTGCCCTGTAGTGGGCACTGCTTAGTGGGAAATGGGATTCCTAGGGAAGAGGGGTGTCAAACTCCATGACTTTTGCTGGAAGAGCTGCCCACCTCTGGAAATCTGCACGTTTAACTGCAGCAAACTTGAGACTGTTTCCTTGTGCAGACGGGTCTGGGCTGGGGCTCTAAAGAGGTGGTACCATTACATTCCTAACTGCTGAATCGGTGTTCCAGTTTGGCTTCAAAACCTCCCCACCGTGTAAGCTTTTTAAAAGCATCGTTTAGGAATTGCCAGATCCCTGCAGAAACTGATGACTTTTTGCTTAGGGAAAGGCAGATCGCCCCAGGCAAATACCTTCTGAGTCCTTTGAGCGGTTACACTTGAACCTCAGGCTGACCACGCTGACCAGAATGATCACAACCACTATCAGGATAACTATGAAGCTGATGACACCTGGGGATGGAGGAAAGAACTGTCTGTGACTGATACAACAACGTGCCTGTCCTCGGCTTCTGGGGTAGCAGAGAGACTTTGACTGTCATCAAAACTTGGGCAGGAAATAAATATTTTCATTAAAATGAGCGTGGTACGTAATAGGCAGAGAAGTAAGTAGTCACTAGAGCGAATGGCTTTATCCTCTTGTGTTTTAGGCTCAAAGGGCTTCTGATGAATACTTAATTGGTAAGGCAGTGCCAGGAGGGCAGAAGTCAGCTGATTACACTGGGGATTGATCGAAGTCAGTATGTCCCTACTACAGTTGGTAAATCTTATCCTAAAGGTGCATAAAGTCAGATAAATACGTACTGTAATGGGGAGAGACAAGCTAAAGACTGTGAATGATGTTATCTGCCTCATAAACCAGTGGCCAACTGCAGATTTGATTCATACATCTGGCCTCGATAAATCAAACTATTCTTTGCATGGGAGTCTTGTCCTGTTAAGACTGCTTCAGGACTTCTCGTGGCTTCCCTTGGATGATATAAGCAAATGATACTTATGGAGTCAACACTTGACTTCTAAAAATGCTTCTGAAATAATTCTTTTTTCCTATAGTGTGATAGAAATGAGCAAACTGGTTTTTTGGGGTTTTTTTTTTGCTCATCTTCATGGAGGAGGGGGACAGTTATAGCCCAAGGCAGAGCAGGTCTCTTAAATCTACCCCGTGCCCATCTTCAAATCTATTGCCAGGTTAAGGTATGGCATCTCTTCCTCCATCCTTCCACAGTCTGAAGGATGCAGAGGACTTGGCTGCTTCCTGCCCATCCGGGTGCAACCGTACCGGGGAAGGCAGTAAGGCAGGGCGGGAATGCAGTCCCAACAGGTTTGCAGGGAAAAAAAACCTGTCTAAGCTTCCAGGCGGGTAGTGTGTTTGTTCTAGACCCTGTCAGGGAAACCAAGGCATAGCATGGGATCATTTGTGCCCAGGTCTTGTCTTAACATGGAGCTGGGGCAAACACTGGCGCTGGGAGCAAGATCCCAAGCTCGGGTGTAGCCATGAAGGACTTCCAAATTGTCTGTCCCTTGTATACTGGGCATGGCTGGGAGTATTTATTAGGTGCTTTATTGCCTGCTGGTGACAAGTCTTTTTCTCAAGGGTTTTCCCTTGCACTCTGAAAACTCCAGGATTAGGCACGCTGAAGAAGAAAACTGTGGAGCCATCTCCAGGGAAGCATCTTTGAAGCTGGGTGTCCAAAACAGCGTGGCCTGGAGAAACAGACCCCCCATCCTCTCCCCAGGTTGCACAAGGCCTTACCAAAAGCTGCCACCGTCAGTGGTGATTTATCATCTGTCGGAGTGGGCACAGGCAAGTAGTCAGAGGACTTCGGTGTTGGGGTGACTGGCTTTGAGGTGCCTACAAGAGGGGAAAAAGGTAGCTTTATATAAAAGTCTTTCTTCCAAGGTTGGGAAGAGGATTCCTAGCAATGCTAGAGGACCTAACTCACACTTGCGCTTTATTGAAGAGAATAACGTTGGATCCTCATCAATGTTAACAGCAAAGTGACCAAGACCTATGTGGGAATCGGATTGCCTTGGTGTGGCCCCTTTTATCGACCATCTGAGAACGCCCGCAGGGTTTTCTGCCAGGGCCCTAGTGATGAAGCTGAGCGTGGCAGGTGAAGGACTGATCTAGCAGTGTGTTTGAGGGGGAGGCTTGTCCTGTCTCCCTCTTTTTACAACCTTTTGCCATAGTGGCACCTTTCCTGCTGTGACTCACAACCACTGTTCCCAGGCTCAACAAGTTGCCCCAAAGTGCTGCTTCTGTGGAGCTTTACAGGTTTTTCAAGGGCTAGATAGGATGGCCAGCATCCCTCAGGTACTCGGTGGACGTTCACCATGCTGCCTTGAGGATAGCAATATGATGGCCTTGCTGTTGGCTGTGAAAAGGGCTATAAAATATCTAGCGGCAATCATCTCTCTGCAAGAGAAAGGAGAAAGCACCTTGAGTTGCTGATGTTGTGGTACTCTCACTTCTCTTGGGCTCTTGACCTGAATAGAGGAAACGCAGAATGTGAGTCTTGTCCTTGCGTGTCATCTAATAACCGAAAGAATTAATGGGCACGCTGGAGAGGAGAACAGATTCACAGTAATGCTGGTGATATCTGGGAAAACATGGAATTCATACTCGGGCTAAAACCTTCCCACCAAACATACTTGGTACTATTTTCCATGCCCAAATAGAAACTCAGGGAACCAAAATTCAAATGCCCTTGTATAAACTGTTCAGGTTCTGCAGTCCCAGATGCAGTTTTTGGGCAGATACAGCGATTGAATACTGGAAGAGTGAACTGGAAAGGTTACAGATTTGCTATTGCTCATAAATGTTGAGACTTTAAAAAAAAAAATCTGCTTAGGGGAAGAAATTCTGCAGATTATGGGTGTGGATTGACCATTCGGCTTGTCCTTGTCCTTGGAATTAGTGGATATGCTGTCCTGGGTTATCTAGAAGTAATTAAGCTGGTTTGAGTTGGGCTAACTTGTACACCATATGTAGTCTAGCTGTGGCAGCGTAGAGGTTTGTTCGAGCAAGGCCTTCAGTTCTCAGTGAGATAAACTGGCTTACATGAAGCTGTTCGGTTTGTGACATCTGCTTCCAAAGCCAGTGCAAGCAAGTTTAAAGGTAGCCTGGGTGTTTCACTTGTACAGAGAAAAAAATCCTTTGCTGCCTCCTGGATGTGTGTTGAACGGCCAGATTATTTGCATTGACCTTAATGAACAGGCCCTGTCAGGACACTAAAAATGATACTTTAGAGCTGCAGAAGATCATCTGTAGGTCAAGGAGGGTCTTCTTTCCTCCTTTCCCATCCCCACCTTCCCAATAGCAGCGTTGGCCAAAAGTATGTGCTGCCTGGAGGAGTGTGAAACGGCTCCTGGCACTCTGCAGTGGAGCGCAGGGCGTGCAGCTGGAACTGGGGTTCCTGTCTTGCAGAAAACATCACTGTTTCGGAATGTAATTTTGCCAAAAGTCAGAAGAAAAAGGGGAAAGGGTATGAAAAGGGGGAAAAGGTATGAAATAACAAATCTAACTGGTTCAGAAGCCACGTGGAGCAGAACAGTCCTGAGAAGCAGGGACTACTGCTGTACAATTTTTTTCACCAGTCATCAAACCCTTTGTTTCATTCTGAAATTGTTCTTCTAGCCACAGGCGGTGGGCAGAAGCTGTGGTTTGTTGGGCCTGGCATGGATACCCCGTCCCTGGGAAATGTTGGATCTCACACACAGGAGACCTCGCTTTTGGAAGCATCAGCAACATTTCTATAGTCAAAGATGTATGGAGCTTTTCAGATATAAAGCAGGGTTATAATTAATAGCAAGCTGCTCTGATGCAAAGGGCTCTTGGCTTAGCTGGGCACAGGCATGCTGGTTGGACATCTGTGCAGGCAGAGCTGACACGGGTTTTTAACCTTGCTTGCGTTAGAGAAGATCTGAGAGGTACCTGGAGAGGCAGAGCAGTTTCCGTCTTGACCATTGCAGATTTTTGAGACTGAGTCTTTAATGGGGAATCAGCTCAGTTGTTAGATTTCAGGCTTCCCACTCGCTTGGATTCTGCCCTTATTCTGAGAAAACTCTTACTGAATTCTCTAATTTTTGCTTACAGGCTGGGTTAAGCAAACTGTCAAAAGCAAAATGATTTTTTTTTTTTTTTTAGAGGATGTTAAAAGGGCTCCCTTTTCCTAAACATAGATCGGTCTTTCAACTGTTCAAGTTCATCCCAGGCAGAGGATGTTAGGTGCATTTGGTCTTGTGTTTTATCACTGCTTGTAAGGATACCAGACATGATTTTGGGTGTTACTGATGGCTCAGCCCCAAGATAAAGACTAGTGCTTAGATAACCTGCACCATGTGAACCAAGTAAGCCAATTGCCATGAAATTATCTAAACTTGTTGTTACTCTATAAAAGGACAAAGTACCTTGTGATGGTGAAGCTGCTGTGCTTCTGCTTCCACTAGACTTTTCATCTGGATAAAGAAAACATGGGAAAGGAGAATTAACTCTTGAAGCTGCTATTAATTGTGCTATGGAGAGCTGTTGGGTTTCCGTGGCGTAAAAAACTTTGTTTGCATGAGACTTCCCCTCCAAACAAACGTCAAGATGGCCAGCTAGCAAGCTGTGCCGTCAATTTAGAGAGTGTACGTGAGAAGTGAGCTTGGGAGAGGTCTGCTGAGGAGGCTGGGGTGCCTGTAGCTCCTCCACAAAACATTACCTGGGAAAGTGTGATCTGGCTTTTCGGATATGGGCTTGCTGTGCAGCTGCCACATCTACGTCACGGTTGTGTCCAGCCCTGTGCTTTTGGGGAGCTGGAATGAGCTGCTCTTTTAGCAAAGACTCAGAGAGATTCAAAAGTTGCTGCTACTGAATAAGTAGCATGGCGTGGACTAGCCCAGTCTTTCTGATGCCCCCAGTTTTGCTTGCATAAGGAGGGATGCATAAACAGGTCCTGCCTGAGCAAAAATGTGAGTTTTCCACACTTACCTCGCGCAGTCAACGCTAGCAGTGTTGTGGCGACGGAAGAGGATTTGGCTGTAGTAGTTTGACCCACAGAGGTGAGATTGAAGTCGGTCGGTGTTGTTGATTTTACTGAAGGCTCTGTAGAGGAAGCATAGCGTTACTTCAAAGAGCTCTGCTCATCACGAGCTCTGCTCAGAAGCAGCTTGGAGGAGGGCATGGCTATTGCAAATAGTCCTCAAACTCCTTGGGAGTTATGGATAAGCCGCTAGGGAAAGCACGGGCATGAGTAGACAAGGAAATAGCCTTCATCCTCCTCAGAGTCAGGGAGCTCTTGTACTTTGGCATTAGCTTTTGCTTTTTTTTAGTGTACAGAGGTGCTGAGCTGGCAGAGCTCAGGAGACACATGGAGAAAGTCTGGCTTTTGCCACCATTTTTTTCCCCGCTTTGAAAATGAAGGTATTTTTATCACTGGAGACTTTAACTGGCTAGAGCTGCCTGGCACCCACGTGTGTGTTTGCTTGTTATCTGAAATGCTAACTTTTATGTTTCATTTCACTGAGAGTCTCTAAGCACAAATAATTCAGTTCTTGCAGTGGTCTGGAGGCTCTATCATCTTCCTCAACCTGCTACTCAAAGCTGCATAGCAAGAACATGATCCAGAGCAAGATGTGGGGAAAAAGCTTTCAATAAGCCCTCTGCAAGGAAGAGTGGATCACCAGCTTGGAATTTATAGGCAAGTTCTTTGTCTAGACTTCTCCTGGCTTTCCAATAAAAATGAGAAAAGAGTGAAAATGGCTTTAAGGTTGGTTTTCTTTTTTTTTTTTTCCCCTTTTATCCAAATGCTTTACCAAAATATTTGAATTTAGGAATAGGTTTCCTTTTTCTGCAAGGCACGGAAGCAGAATCAGATCTTTTTTAGATCTTTTTCCTTTATATTTTTGGGGTCCCTTTGGAGGGGTAGCTATGCTTAGAAAGATTCCCCCCCCCTCCCAACACAGCAGGAAGAGATCTGTCTCCAAAGATCCAAGTGGGCTAACAGATGTGGATCTGGAGTTGGATAGATCCCTTCTTGTGCATTTGGTTTTGTGTATTTTCGGACTGAAACATATAACTTCCTGCTAACAGCTCCCTACGCCCACTTCCAGGGCTTCTGTGTGACCACGTATGTGCGGTAGTGTCCTGGTTTCAGCAGAAGAGGAGAACAGGAAAAAGAGAATAAAGTAAGGGAACTCCTCAGAGGTTCGTATTACTTGTAAATATTTTTCTGTCCTTACGAGTGATTGCTGTTTCCATGAAGGTAGGTAACAAAGCAAAACCCCCAACATGAATAACTGAATTAGAGCTAAGGCAGCGTTCAGTCCTCGTGCTGACACAAACATTGTACGGTTTAGGACAAGCCTCGTCATGCTTCCCCTTTTCCTCTTGGAGAAATGGGAAACATACTGACCTGGTGTATGGGAGGTGCTGAGGGTGTGCAAAGCACTGGAAGTTTTTAGTTTAAAAAAAATGCAGTCAGGCTCATCAAGAGAGCCGTATTGAACAGTAAATGTAACGCCCGGAAGCTCTTACAACAACGACTTCATTGCTGTTACTTCTGTCACGACACCAGGAGCCAAGGGCGGAGCTGGCGTGCGAGGCAGCGTGCCTGCACGGACTGCACTCACCCGGCGGTCCTTGCAGGGAAGAGCTGCTAAGCAAAGCAGGCGATGCCAGGCAGGAGGATGCAGCAACACGGACACTTGCCCAGCCTGGCTCCTTGCCTGGGCTCTGGGCAGTCGCATCCTTTGTGCACACAAGATACAAAGGCCAGGGTTTTCCCTGGGTTGTGACCTGCTGACCCGGCTTCTCCCTATTCAATTTAGTGATTTTTTTCCCCTGTTCTTGCTCGCTCCTGTGCCTTGATCCCTCTGGGGTGAGCTGGCTGGATCAGAAGCCTTCACGCCACAAAATTTCCTTCTTCCCCACCACTGTTCTTGTCTAACCTGCCGCTGCACGGCCCCATTTATTGCCAGATGGCCCAGCTGGACTGAAGGTCAGACCAGTTGCAAGCCAGGATGCCCCTGAGCTGCACTCTTAGGTCTCCAGATGAGCGTTACCTGAGGTATGGTTCTTTACTTCGGGGCTGTGTGTTGTTGATTGGGATTGACCTGTAACACAAGCAGAGAGACACGGTGGTGATGTCTCCTACAGGTGCTCCTTGTTGGCGGGATCCCCATAGGGAGGGCCGAAGGATGGGCCGGAAAGGGGCCATTATAGCCAATAAGAGCTGAAAGGGTGACGGGGCAAGAGATGCTAAGGAGGGAGTTTGTCACTGGTGTGGCTGTCGGGACCTGTGGGCAAAGGGTCCTTGGCTCTGAGGATTCATGGAGGAGAGCACGCTGATTGCTAGGAAACAGCCGGGGGGAACTGAGAGCAAAGATGAGGCTGGATCCCTCTGCTTTCATTGGGCTTCCTGAAACACAGCATTGCTATCTTCCAGACAAAGTTGGGGGCAGAGACCAGAAAAAGGGGAGCCAGGCAAGGTCATCCTCCGGGGCACAGTGCCCTCCATGGCCCCTGGAGATCTGGGGGTGAATGATGATAGATGGGGCAGGCGGAGGTGGGCAACACAGGGTCCTGGGAGAAGGATGGGAAGCGGATGGCAGTTCTGAATCTCGTTCCCGTTTGTGGACTCTCCATTTGCATCCCCACATGGGCAGTTGCATCCACATACAAATAGATGTTTAAAGCAGATCACAACCCAGGAGGTACCTGTTACAGCATGGACAGAGGAGTCTGTGGAGGTTGTAGTACCTGCAATGAAAGAATAAGAGTATTAGCGGTGCTAATCTGTGACTGCATTGGTGTTCTTGCTGGTTGTGTGGCTTGAGTTTTCCTCATCCTCTGTAGGAATGACTTTGAAATACATGATTTCCCCCAAAACATTAGCAAAGAAGTAGTAGCAAACACTGAGTGCAAAACTATCAGGTTGTGAGTAAATTAGTACTGGAGTTTATTCAGCCAGGATAAATGCCCTCCTCCCCAGTTGGAGCCGAACCCTTCAGGGAGCTGTCTTCCTCTGCTACAGGGAAAATGCAAGGCCATATAAATCAGTGGGGTCGTTCCCTCCCCATGAGCTGTTTGCCTCCAGCTCAGTTTTGGCAGAGAAAGGCTGTTTGACCTGTATTCTGGAGCTGTTTATGGAGTTAAGACACACATTTGAACGCTTTGTTCCCTTGAGACCTTAGTGAGTGGGTGGACGGGGTTTGTAAAGGCTTCCAGGAGCCGATGGGACTGTTTTCCTTCCCGTCTCCTACCTCCTATCCTTCTGTCCCGTGTATTTGCATCCTGGGAAGCTGGCTGAAGCCTCGTGGCCGTGTAAGTCCGGGCTGAGCAAGGGGGCTGCAGCTTGGGGGCTGACTCAGAGCTGCCTTCCCTGGTAGGGGTGGGTAGTCCTGTAGGTCCAGGCAGGGCTTTGCTCTCCCAGGGTTGTAGGTGTTGCACCGAGTCCCTGGTTTCTCAACTGAAAGGTGTTTCAGTTTGGGTTTTTTTTGTTGTTTTTGTTTTGGATTTATGACAAAGCATCCCTGCACCAATCCCCCGTGTTGCCTACTCTCAGGATCCCTGGTGTTTTTCTTTAAGGCCCAGCTCCTGGACTCCTATGATTAGATGAGATGTGAATTAAAAATGCTGCCATTTAAAATGGGAAAAAGAAATGTCCAGTTCCCATACTTGGGGACAAGAACTGGAAAATGTAAATGCACTTTAAACGCTCAAATCAAACCCAAGTGGTTTAACTTTGAAAAGGTGACTTTGAGTCGGTTGTTTTTGAAATGGACGTCCTAATTGGTATTTTTAAATGGTTATTGCTGGTGATCCTGGTGCTGTCTGTAGTTAAGATTAATGGAAGAAACTACATTACAGCTACAGAAACCAGCTGAATCTGATCCCACCGGTGATCCATCTCACCAGAGTCCCACGAGAGCTAAAGGTTCTGGACAAAAAGGGACAGCAGTAAAGGTTGAATCCTTCCAGCTCGCTGTCCCCTTGTAATGCCGCGTAGCTCCATTGCAACAGTGGGCTGTGATGAGGTGCAGTGCCTGTGCAGGATGCTGCGCCTCGTGGGGTGGCAGGACGGGAGGCGCGAGCCAGAGCGGAGCAGTGCTTGTGCACCCATTACAGCCAGAATCTGTCCTCCCTGTACCCGAGATTCATCTCACCTGCTGCTTTACACCTCTCATGAGCCAGCCTGCAGGAGCGCTCATCTCCAGGCTCTCTTTCTCACCAGAGAGAGGACCAGGCACTTCTAAAACCCTATTGCTCTGACCTATTTCAGATCTTTACCTTGCCTTGCCTTGCCTTGCCTTGCCTTACCTTACCCATTTCAGATTTCTACCTTACTGTAGCTGTGGCTAGAGGAGCCACAGCGTGCAACACCCCGTTTCTTACCAGGAGCCGTAGAGGCGATGTAGGTGATGAACTTCGTGGTAGGTACCTACGCTGTAGGTGTCTGAAAGAGGTCAGCTGAATGCCCTGATGGTGGTGTGTATCTGGAATGAGATCTTTAGCGTCCAGTGTATGTGGGTTATCGGGGCTTGGCTCAGAGCTCACCCCTTGGGACTGTCTGGGTGTAGCGAGCTCCTGGTTGATCTCATTTTTCTCACGTAACTGCGTTGGAGCCGTAATTGTTTTTTTTTTTGTCTGAAGCTTTATGACAATGATCCCAGCCAAACAGGAACCAAAACAGTGTGTAAACCACAGTGAACGCATAATAAAACATGGTCTCTTTCCAGATAGGATTTGGCTGTGAAAATCAGACCTGACTTTTCAGATCTTTTCCATGCTTTTCTCTTCTAGCTTACTGGGCAGCAGGCTGACAAAACTATCTTGTTTAGTCCATGAAAGAGGAGACATGATCAGATCTTTAATTACATAGAGAGGAAGGGACTAACTGGTTTTCTAAATACATTGGGAACAGGACCAGAAAACAAGGACTTTTAACTGCAGCAAGGAAAAGGGAGGCTGGGCAATGGGAAACTGCCTTAACATACGGATAGTGGGTTGCTAGGAGTGATTGTGTAGGAGAATTACGGGATACCCTTCGCTGCAGGTTTTGAAGAGCAGGTTAAATGAGCGTCAGTCTCGTAACATAGACAGGATTATGGACAGATGTAGCATCACTTACTGAATCAATTAATACAATGGAACAAAAATCTTTCGGGCACACAGTTGCCCTTCGTAAAGAGATAGCGATGCTTCGCTTGAGGAAGGGGGATGCACCCCTTTGCAGCCCTGTTGCCTGGGGTGCTGTGAGGCACTGCCTGCTCCCCGGGGGCCCAGCTGACTCCATGGAGAACGTGTGTTGACTTGGGCTGTTTCCATTGATCCCAAGAGTTTGCCAAGTTTTCTCTTTGTCACTGGGCTTCCTCTTGCTAAACAGCTTTACAACACAATTTCTGGACGCTGGTTTGTGAATGCCTTAAGGTACTCTGTATACATTCAGCACAAAAGAATAATGTGCTGAGATCATTATGGGGGCCAACATCCTCTAGCGGCTGCCAGACTCAAACAGCTCCTTTCTCCAAAATTGCCTTGCAGAAGCCATTGTCTTGTTCCTCCGTGGGGAGAAGTAGCTGCTTGTAACACATTTTCTTTTTTAAATCATCACAGGTGCTTTTTAGTGTAGATGGCATGTGAAAGCATCAAGAATCACTGAAGAAAGAGCTATTGTCTACACATAGTCTTTGTCAAAGGAAAAGGGGAATAAAGGTGCTGAGCTGGCAGTTTATTCAACCATTTTTGGTGCAGCTGAGGAGAAATCTGAGAGCTTGAACGGAGCCTCTAGGGATGGGAGGAAGCTGAGAGCAAGGGAGATGACACTGCTGCCCTGTACTGCCATCCCTGATGGGACCATCCCGTGGGCTGGCTCCAGCGTCCCCGGCACTAGGGCAAGAGGATCGTACTCAACGCTTTCTTCCACCGCAGCTCAGCCCCTCACTGAAGGTCACACCAGAGCACTGGCTCATAAGGCATTCTCCATTTGCAAAACTAAGCCTTGGGGTTATTGTAAATGAGATGAATAAGCAGTTTCTTTTCCAGTGCTCAGTCCCTGGAGTTCACCTGGCCAAGTAGATGCTCGCCCCGGTCAGCCGCGTTTGAGCTTTGCTGTGGAGAAGTGACCGGTCTTGCTGTGAAGGAGCCGAGGGATGGAGATCCATTCCTGGCACTTTGCTCCGGAATAAATGGCCCTGGCTCTGTAAACACAACCGCACATTATTTCAAAGTGGAGCATGTCTGGCTCTGACTTCTGGCCACTGCTGCTTGTTATGCCTTCCCTGCCAACTTAAATAATCAAAAGTCCTGTTATATTAGGTGTTTTCTTTTGGTGAAGGTGCTTAGCATCCCGGTTGGATTACAGCGGAGAGGGACGGACGGACGCAAAGCAGGAAGAGACCCAAGTCACGTCGTGGGGCTGGGCAGCAGGATGGCTACGAACAAAAAAGTGCCACGCGTCGCGGCTCCCTGCAGACCTCCCCAGGGGACTCTCGTGCAAATGGTGCTGGAAACCATTTCCTCCCGGTGCCTCTGCCAGCATGGCCTTGCTCCCCTCCATGGAGGGCCCTGGCTGCATAAGCAGCTAACAATAATAATCAGGACGCAGCCAGCGCAGCTGTAATTGCAATAAACATCAAAGCCATTCAAATGACTCGCCATTGAGCGTAAGCACTGCCAAGATACTTGTTGCGTGTTTGGGTGCAAGTGATTTATGGCTGGATTGTGCAGTTCTAGGTGGAGACGGGGAGCTTGCTGAGGGATTTACAATGGGAAATACTGCTTTCTGCTCGTGGTGTAATGGGGAACTCCTGATTACTCACCAGAGCTATAGGGCTGCAGAGGAGCGCATCGGAGCTGCAGGTGCATTTCAGCTCCGACCCAGCGCTAGCTGCTTGTCAGTTAATTTTTAGAGAGGATGAGCAGGGGAATTTTGGATTTCTGTTCTTTGCAGTAGTTCTTCTGTGAGGTTAGATGCGAGTGTTAGATTGAGAGCAGAGAGGTCTTTCTATGGAGCCTTCTCTCACGGCAGCCGAGGTGTTCCCACAGCCAGCAGCTCACCCTGCTCACTACTCGGCACAAAAAGAGAATGATGTAAAACAAAAAAAGGTGAATTTTAGGTATTTCTGTTTTGGTATTGTTTTTGGCAATCATGGGCATTTAAAGAGTGGTTTCTCCAGCTGCTGACCAAAGAGAGGCACTGACATTTAAAAAAACTCAGACTTTACATCAGAGCCTCCGTATAGCAGCACTGCTGTAGCCGAGACCTGGGCCAGCTGTTGGAAACACTTCAGCAGGGTTTACGTGAGGCTCAAGAAGGGCTCGTGCTGTCCGGTCTGTATTCACCGAGGGATGGAGTCACAGGGGAGGATCTCTGGCACTGAAATGAAGGCACTGGGACTGGGTCTGTCCACTCAGAACTGGTGATGGAGAGGGACTGTCTATCCCCAATGACATGTAACCCTGGACTTGCTGGACTCTTCTCCTTCCCTGGCAGTTCTGGGGGGAGATGTGGTGACGTCCTACCTGTCCCCAGGTAGCGCATTGCGTGGCAGGGAGCTGCAGAGCCCGTGTGGCATTGTGCAGCCTTGCTGTACCGGCCCCGGTGTCACCCTCTGTTTGCAGGTTGCAAAAACAAATGCTTTCAGAAAAGAGACCTAGCCACCTAAAATTAGACTTTTCAATTCATGTATTGGCATTTCCGTCAAACGAGCCATGGCAAAAATATACCGCCCGCTTAACGCAAGCGCAGCTGTTTCCTG